TAAAGGCATGAAATTTGCACCCACTAACCCTTTTAAACCCTTTGAAGCCTTTTTAGACATTAACAAATTCGTCCGCAAAGCCACCCTAAAAAGATTTTTTAATGATAAACACCATGAACCAACTACTCTATCCCCCACAGCCAGTTTACCAACCACCACCACTACTACCAACACCAATACCATCAATACCCATTTGAAAGAAAAATCTAAAATTTATCCCTCTTATTGCAAATCCGCACCCCTTATCATGTTCGAAAAACTTGTGCTAAAAGACTTTGAAATAATTAAATATAATAAATATGACTCACACAATCTAACTCATGCCGAGCGTAACACACTAAAACAACTGCAAGAAAACAAGGATATAGTCATTCAGCCGGCAGACAAAGGAGGTGGGATTGTCATCCTGTCTAGCAATATGTACATAGATGAGGCACATAGACAATTACACGATACCGAAACATATGACAAACTACCCTCTGACCCCACCTCTACCATCCAAATCACCCTATCCACTTTTTTACAAAAAGGCCTAGACTCTGGCATCCTAACAAAACACAAATTCAACTACCTTAACATCAAACACCCCAAAATTCCCGTTATATACTTTACAGAGCTGGCCATAGCTCTCCCAAATGTGAGTTCTCTACTTATATTATCTACTGCACCTTGAATTTTAGACATACTGCACCATTGGTTGCCGCTACCTCTTTTTTGCTTTCATATACTGAACGGTCAACACCAGACGCACCTACCTCTACCAAGAAACCATACCCTATCAAGTATTCCTGACTATCCACTGGTATCCTATTGACATTTTTACTGGACTATGTCTCTGTAGCGGAGAGGCAGTATAATCCACGATATCTCCGCTGGGTAACAGGAACAACAAAGGATAATCCAGGGAATCAGCATACAGTAATCCAAACAGCACTGCAGTAACCCTTCCTTCCCAAGAACTAGATGACACATAGGCTGGGAGTCAACTGAGGTCTTTTAATTCAGCTCCACAATATATACAAGTCCCCATGCAAGGGGTTTCCTGAGTCCCCTCCTAGGGACATTCCCAGAGGGGACTACATGGGGGACTTACAAAACAAGACATTTTTCCCATCAGGCACCGCTGCACGAGAGGGATCCTCCCACTGGAATATACCGTTAAGAGGATTATCCCTCCGTGCAGCAGAGCTTACATTTCACATTAAATTCAATAATTCCGTGAATATCTGGTTCATTTAAACGAATGGACGTTCGGTAGATAGCTGGGGTCTGAGCGCATCATTCGTGAGATTACCGCTCAGATCCCAGCTAAAATAACCGAACGCCGCACGAAAAACACATTCACTAACACATAGCCTTAAAATGTCGATTACATATAGTGAAACAAAATACAGAACGTCCCGGACCTCCCGAACGGTCTGGAGGCTCAGCGGTGTTCGCGCCGTCGAGTAGCCGTTTTTAGTTCCACGCGCTCGACGACCAAACACCGCTGAGGGAACAAAGGATCCAAGATGGCCGCCCGCCGCATGGTCGGTAGTCGAACGACGGCCACCCAGGGGAGCCTCTAATTACCGATTGCAACATTGTTGCAATCGGTTAATAGGTGCCACACGCCTCTAAGTGTGTGGGCTATAAAATATGTTGTTCGGTTCCCGAACGGCCCGCAGATAGCCCAGGCAGGAAATACAGCATTAACATTGCATTACAGTACACGCTCTAACACACAAAAGGAACCCCATACCGGCAACCCTTAAAGAGACAGTACAAAATAATGTCCAAGTGGCTAGGTTTGCCACAATGCTCCCCCAGAACCAAGCCGGCATACACAGTCTGATCCCAACGGATCGGCTTGGGGATGTCCGGAGGAGTACTCACGAATCACGGCTCCAAGTCTGTTTGTCTAGACAACCCGTCGGCATTGCCATTTTGCTTCCCAGGGCGGTAGTGGATAGTAAAGTCAAAAGGCTGCAGCGCCAAACTCCAGCGCAGCAGCCTGGCATTGTCTCCGGACACCCTCTTCAGCCACACCAACGGGTTGTGATCCGTGAGTAAAGTGAAGGGTTGTCCGTATAAGTAGGGTTGCAACTTTTTGAGGGCCCACACCACAGCCAGGCACTCCTTTTCAATGGCGGCGTAGCTTACTTCCCTGGGTAAAAGTTTTCGGCTTAGATAAGCTACGGGGTGCTCGCTGCCATCGGGCCCAACTTGGCTCAGTACTGCTCCCAATCCAAACATAGAAGCGTCTGTGTGGACGAGAAAGCGTTTAGTTGGATCAGGAGCAGAAAGTACAGGAGAGTTAACAAGTGCCGTCTTGAACTGTTGAAACGCCTGCTCACACTCTGGGGCCCAGACTACTAACTTAGGGAGATTCTTGCGGGTCAGGTCTGTGAGGGGTTTGGCAAGAGCGCTATAGTTGGCCACAAATTTCCGGTAGTACCCGGCGGTCCCTAAAAAGGCGAACACTTGGGTCTTGGTGCGAGGGGTAGGCCATTGGGCGACTGCCTCTATTTTAGCAGGTTCGGGTTTCTGTTGCCCACTCCCTACCCGGTGCCCTAGGTACTGGACTTCCGCCATACCGATATGGCATTTGCTGGGTTTTAGGGTCAGTCCGGCCTCTCGGATTCAGTCTAGAATGGCCCCTATGTGAACCAGATGTTCGTGCCAGGAGTGGCTGAATATGGCGATATCATCTAGATACGCGCAGGCATACTCCTGGAACCCATCTAATAATCTGTCTACCATTCTCTGAAAGGTAGCTGGGGCGTTTTTCATCCCGAATGGCATGACCTTAAACTGATACAGGCCAAACGGGGTGACAAAGGCCGACTTAGGGATGGCGTCCTCCGCTAATGGAATCTGCCAGTACCCTTTGCACAGGTCTATAGTGGTTAGGTACTGGCCCCTGGCCATTTTGTCGAGGAGTTCGTCTATCCGGGGCATGGGATATGCGTCAGAGGTCATTTTATCGTTGAGCCGTCGGTAGTCTACGCAGAAACGGGTCGTCCCGTCCCGTTTCGGCACCAGTACTACCGGGGAGGCCCAGGGGCTGTCCGAGTGCTCTATCACTCCTAACTGAATCATCTCCTCAATTTCCTTGCGCATACTTTCTTTGACTGCTTCTGGAGTGCGATATGGGGGTTGGCGCAGGGGAGTCTGATCTAAAGTTTCTACCTTATGGGTAGCCAAAGGGGTATAGCCTGGTAAATTGGAAAACGTGGCCTTCTTTTCCTGAAGCAACCTTTGTACCTGAGCCCGCTCTTGGGCATTTAATCGTTCTCCTAACTGTACCTCTCCCAGATCTCCGCTCTGGCCCTCTTGGTCTAGGAGATCGGGTAGGGGTAGGTTGTCAAAATCTTCCGTGGCAGGGGCACAGATTGCGGTGACCTCCTCAGTACGTTCGTGGTACGGCTTGAGCATGTTCACATGGAGCATGCATTTGCCTCCCATGCCTGTAACCGGGCCGATCACATAGGTGGTGTCACAGATCTGTTCCACCACCTTGTATGGGCCCTGCCAGGAAGCCTGCAGCTTATCTTTGTGGACTGGTCGCAAGATTAGTACTTTTTGCCCCACCTGGAAGCTGCGGTCCCTGGCTCCCTTATCGTACCATCTGCGCTGTCGCTGCTGTGCTACCTGGAGATTGTCTCGGACGGTCTGGGTCAGCCTCTCCAGGCGTTCCCTGAACTCGAGCACACATGGTAAGATAGGGGTGCAATTAATGGTTTCGTCTCCCTCCCAGTGTTCCCGTATCAAGTCAAGAGGTCCCCTCACTCTCCTCCCGAATAATAATTCGAACGGAGAGAATCCGGTGGATTCTTGCGGCACTTCTCGATACGCGAACAGCAGGTGGGGTAAAAACCTCTCCCAGTCTTTTTGGGTGTCCATGAACGTGCGGATCATTTGTTTCAGGGTTCCGTTAAACCGTTCACAGAGCCCATTGGACTGGGGGTGATATGGGGAGTTTAGGATTTGCTGTATCCCACATATCTTCCAGAGCTGATGGGTCACTTCAGCAGTAAACTGGGTGCCTCTATCGGAGATAATCTCCCGGGGAAATCCTACCCGGGTGAATATTCTCATCAGGGCCTCGGCTACCGTTTCGGCGTGTACGTTAGTTAAGGCCACTGCCTCGGGGTACCTGGTGGCGTAGTCCACCACAGTTAGGACATACTTCTTGCCGGAGGGGCTTGGTTTTGCGAGGGGACCTATGATGTCTACTGCCACCCTACTGAATGGTTCTTCAATGATGGGCAGAGACCGTAGTCGTGCTTTGTATCTGTCCCCTCTCTTGCCTACCCTTTGGCAGGTATCACAGGTCTGGCAATATCGCCTAACATCCTGGGAAATACCTGGCCAAAAGAAATTTTGGGTCAGCCTGTGCTTGGTACGATTGATGCCTAGGTGTCCAGACAGGGGGATATCATGGGCTATGCGTAACAGCTCTAACCTATATTTTCGAGGCACTATTAGCTGTTTAATGGGTAACGGTATTGACCCGGACACTACCTTCTCTGCGTGCCGCTATAGTAGTCCTTTGTCCCAGATATATCTTTCCCCCTCTAACCCTGCTTGATCTTTATCAATGCGGTCTTTGTATACCTGTAACGAGGGATCTAGGGCCACTTCTGACCCAAACTCTATGGAATTGGCCCATGGCATGACAGGGGGTAGGGGAGAGTCATTGCTTACCTGAGCCTCAGAGTGATCGGATGGTGCTGTGGTGCGGGCGTGTTGTTGGGTCACAACCGGGTATGCTTCTTGTATGGTGGGCTGTGGAACAAAAGCTGAAGTCAGCTCCCCCAAGTCGTTGCCCAAAATCACATCCGCTGGCAAGTCTTGCATCATCCCCACATATACATTCCCGTGCCCCGCTCCCCAATTCAAGTGCACCTTGGCCGTTGGTACTTTGTAAATGGCTCCCCCGGCCACCCGCACAGCCACACAGTCCCCCGTGAGCTTGGGCTTTGGTACCCTTGTTCCCTTGCGGTCTCCTAGCCATAATGTACTCCTGTACATCACCGAAAAGCCTGCCAACCATCTCTGCAGATGGGGGTTCAGGGAATAAAGCCATTCGTGCTCGGAATTCGGCTGTAAATTCGTGGGTTTCTCCCTCCATTTGAGGTGCTGCAGCAGCTGCGGCTCTGTCTCCTTCCATGAGCTCTGTAATGAGGACAGCCTTTGCCTTGTTACTGGCGATTGCTCCTCTTGCTTCCAGCAGCTCCTTTAATGTGCTCTGTTTTAGCAGGGCGTAATTTGTTCCCATTCACCGGCTGTTCGTGAGGTTTATTCGAATGCGCTAATTCCCGAATGGCTGTTCCTCGATTCGTTTAAAAATCTGCCGAACGTTGCTTTGCTGTGTGAATTCAATCCCACCGCTGCCACCAATTGTAGCGGAGAGGCAGTATAATCCACGATATCTCCGCTGGGTAACAGGAACAACAAAGGATAATCCAGGGAATCAGCATACAGTAATCCAAACAGCACTGCAGTAACCCTTCCTTCCCAAGAACTAGACGACACATAGGCTGGGAGTCAACTGAGGTCTTTTAATTCAGCTCCACAATTTATACAAGTCCCCATGCAAGGGGTTTCCTGAGTCCCCTCCCAGGGACATTCCCAGAGGGGACTACATGGGGGACTTACAAAACAAGACATTTTTCCCATCAGGCACCGCTGCACGAGAGGGATCCTCCCACTGGAATATACCATTAAGTGGATTATCCCTCCGTGCAGCAGAGCTTACATTTCACATTAAATTCAATAATTCCGTGAATATCTGGTTCATTTAAACGAATGGACGTTCGGTAGATAGCTGGGGTCTGAGCGCATCATTCGTGAGATTACCGCTCAGATCCCAGCTAAAATAACCGAACGCCGCACGAAAAACACATTCACTAACACATAGCCTTAAAATGTCGATTACATATAGTGAAACAAAATACCGAACGTCCCGGACCTCCTGAACGGTCTGGAGGCTCAGCGGTGTTCGCGCCGTCGAGAAGCCGTTTTTAGTTCCACGCGCTCGACGACCAAACACAGCTGAGGGAACAAAGGATCCAAGATGGCTGCCCGCAGCATGGTCGGTAGTCGAACGACGGCCACCCAGGAGAGCCTCTAATTACCGATTGCAACATTGTTGCAATCGGTTAATAGGTGCCACACGCCTCTAAGTGTGTGGGCTATAAAATGATATGTTGTTCGCTTCCCGAACGGTCCGCAAAGGTGCCGTTCGTGAAACGGAAGGAATTAGCTATCTGCGGTCGGGAGATAGCCCAGGCAGGAAATACAGCATTAACATTGCATTACAGTACACGCTCTAACACACAAAAGGAACCCCATACCGGCAACCCTTAAAGAGACAGTACAAAATAATGTCCAAGTGGCTAGGTTTGCCACAGTCTCTCCACTTGGTGCAGCCCTATCTTATATTTTTTACTACTATAACTTAGTATTTCGTGGGCATTGACATTTCACTTTCCTTAGGTGTCCTGGTCATACTGTCGGTGGCTTTACAAACACAAAACCCGTCATCTGCCTCTGTCATATTCTCACTGCTCATCAACAGTATCTGGTAGGTTCCTTTATTTAATTTAGGCCCACGATCTGGCCCACTACAATATACCCATACGCACAGATACTCATGCACATCCTATCCATGGGTTGCAGCTCGTCATCTACTGCCACCCTCTCGTTCATATCTTTCCGCCTAGCATCAGCCGGACTCAAACCTTATCAGGTACGATGTCATAATCCTGTACATTTTCTATGTTTTGAGTGGTACTGGCTTCCTGAGATTTAGGTTGTCCAACTAGGTTTCTGTTTCTGGTCTTAATCCATAAACTAGTGGTCCTGCAAGGCCAACATCCATCCTCATACTCTGTCACTGACACCGAGGCAAACATCCACACATACACACAGGCAGACAGCCACACACACACACAGGCAGACAGTTACACACACACAGTCACACACACACAGACAGACACACACACAGTCACACACAGACAGTAACATACACAGGCAGACAGACACACACACAGACAGTCACACACAGACAGTCACAGTCACACAGACACACTGACCTGCTTCTTACCTCCTGCTTGGAGCTCCTGGAGGCTGGTTGTTGGGGAAGCAGGGACTCCTTCCTGCTTCCCATGCTGCAATTAGCCGGGCCCCGCCGCACACTAAGCCCCGCCCCGCCGCACAGTAAGCTCCGCCCCTGCCGCAAATTTCTTTATTTTTTTTTTTTAAATGATTCCGGGCGGCCGTGTGTGAGCCGGCCGCCTGGCTCCCCCTGCTCCCATGGGGCTATGTGCGGCCGCACAGCTCACACACGGCCGCCGGGATCACAAGAGCTGTCAGACCGGCCCCAGGTGCCGCGGCCCACCGGGAAATTTCCCGGTATCCCGGTGGGCCAGTCCGGCCCTGGCCCTACCCCCCACAGCACAGCACCCCAACAGCACAGCACCCCTAACCCCCACAGTACCCCTTTTCCCCCCAAACAGCACAGCATTCCTACCCCCCACAGCACAGCACCCCTCCCCTACACACACACATACACACAGCACCCCTACCTCAGTAGTCTGTGTGTATTCAGCAGACTGCGTGTGTGTATTCAGCAGTGTATGTATTCAGCACACAGTGTGTATGTATATGTATTTAGCCATCTGTGTGTGTGTGTATGTATTTAGCGGACAGTGTGTGTATGTATTAAGCAGTTGGTGTGTGAATGTGTTCGGCAGTCTGTGTCTATACATCGCATTTGTTGGAGAAACTAATAAATATAAGCTTCATTTTATCTATTTATATCATTATTTAACATTTGTTTCATTGAACTCTGTTGTGTTCTTTTTTTAAAACAAAAGTTGTTAATTAGTTCGGACAACTGTTAGAGTTGTGTTTTCTAAACTTAAACCTCAGTATTCAGGTTTAATTGCCGTGTTGGCACTTTGAGGGAAAAAAAGTTGGCATGTATTGCAGTTTGGGCACTCGAGCTCCAAAAGGTTCGCCATGACTGTCCTAATATGTAAGAGAATTCACACACAGAAATACAGTTTGAAACTTTTTAAGAAAAAAAGAATTCTAACTACAAAACTAACAATTATTCACTAAACTGAGAATTGTCAAGTATCAAAAATTATTTCAAACTTAATTTTATATCTAAAGCCAAAGTAACTGAACTGGATGTGTGACGAGACCAATCTCGCCACATTGCATTGGAGAAGCCTGGTTGCCTTTGGACTATGGCCCCCTTTTAAAAGACTTTATTTTTCCATGCAGAAAAGCCATATTCATGCTTTTCTGCCGGTTGTTCGGTAGTTTCAATCTACCGAACAACCGTACGAATGACTGGACCACCTGGGAGCTGGAGTGTGCCGGCAATTAACCTCCCTGAAGCTGCGGTTAACCGCAGCTTAATTGATGAACGCTGGGTGGCCGCCGTTCGTATCCCGAACACGAGGTCGCGGCCATTTTAAACCATACGAATGAACAGCGGTGTTCGCCTCTATTTTCATGGAACTAAAATCGGACACAGTTTTGCGCGAACACCGCTGAAGCCGCCGACCTCCCTTCTTGTTCGGTGAAAGCACACGAATGACCCGGTGTTCGGTATTTTTGTGTGAATATCTTATACCCCAGATAGGAATCCCATGGAGCCCATTCGTATGAAACTGACTGTAAAGACTTTGGCTCCATGGCGATTGAACTGTATTCGTGTAGTCTGAGTGCCATTCACCTAATAATGTGCACTCAGACCTGAGCTATCTGGGGATGTGTTACATGTCTGTGTTTTACGTAGTAAATGTTACTTTGTGCATTTTAAAGTGTTATGCTGGTTTTGTGTTCCCACGTGTGTAATGGAGTTTTGCCTTTGTCTTGGGAGATAATTGAGTTACTTCCCAATTATCTCCCAGGGCAGAGGGGAGGAAGCCAGGATGCATTGTGGGAATATACTGTGACTGTGTGTCCTATTTGTATACTTGTCTGTCCCTTGTCACAGTCTTCCATCTGGTCCCCTAGGGGAGTGTCCACCAGGTGGGAGACCTGCATAAAAGCCGGGCAGGTAGCCCTCATTAAACAGACCACTGCTTGACCCTCAACACGGAGCCTTGTCTCGTTCTTGGGGGGATTCACTGTATGCTGTTAGAGACTGATTGCCAGGAGTGTAAGCTGTTCGTCTGCTTTTCCTGTTCGTCTGCTAGCAGCTATTTGGGAGGTTCCAGTTCGGGAGTTGGAGTGCTATTTTGTATCCAGTTCGTGAGTTTTTGTGTTCTGCAGTAGCTGTGCCTGTATCTCTGGAAAGGGGGCCGATCGCCTAAACGGTTTTTACCCCTTGTGTGCAAAACGGTCCGTTACAGGATGCATAGCAGACTTTTTATTTCCAATTCAGCTATTTTGATCTTAAAGGGACACTGTAGGCACCCAGACCACTTCAGCTCATTGAAGTAGTCTGGGTGCAATGTCCCATGTCCCTTAACCCTGCAGATGTAATTATTGCAGTTTATAGAGGGACTTCCGGAATTGAAAGGGACCTTTGGTCCGTTATCTGACGCTGGACGTCCTCAAGCTATGCATGAGGACCTCCAGGATCAGATGTTTCTTATTCAGTGCTTTCCTATGGGGAAATTGTAATGCGAGCATGGCAAGGAGGGCACTGGGTGCACTCTTACCTCAAGGGGTTAAACTATTGAATGATTCCCTATTCAAAAAACTAGCTTGGAAAAAAAAAAGTTTATTTTCAAGACAGTTTTATGAATGGGGAGACCCTGATTGGCTAAAAGCGTCAACTGGCCGCTCTCCACCGATCAGTGGCACTCCATGCTTCCTGAAACTGAGCTTTCAGAAACCCGATGTCATCTGAAGGGTGTTATAATTGGCGCTGGAGGCACCAGCTTCAATCTCAACTCCTTTCAAAAAGCATCCGGCTTCCTTGAGGTAAGAGTGTGCCTGGGGGCTTTCTGGCAACTTAACAACTTAATTCAGATTAAGTTGTTATGATGCCCAGGGTGCCCCGTTAACAGAACAGGAGATAAAATCTTAGAAACACACTGTGCTGTAAGATCTGATTGAAAATAAAACTTTTTTTATGGGAAATGTGGTTACGGCTTTAAACAGTAAGAAGGCTAAATCCTATATCATTAGAAAGCTAACTATGATATAATTAAAAAGCTAAATATTAGCATAATTATTAGGCTAAATATGATGATGATTATTAAAGGCATTCATAAAGTGCAAACAAATTTTGCAGCGCTGTACAATTTGGGAAAAGCACAGTACAATATACACAGCCCAATGGTATCAGTAATAGGTTGTTTTCCTCTTATTTACAGAAACTGGATAACGTCTCAAATCTAAAAAAAGAGTCTGGAGATCCAAGTAAACCTGTCTTCAGCTTTAAATGGGCGAACGGGAATATTCGAGGAGGTCAAGTCATCAGCAAACAAGAATCTGACCCACTAATGGATGGTTTAAAGGATTCACCAAAATTTCGGAAGAAATACAAAGCTTCATGGTATCTCCGAATCCATGCTTCGAAACTGGACGCAATGGTAAATCCACACGTACCACTTGGTGCTCTGCCTGAAGGGGAACAGTTTGAGCTTCGTCAAAGGAAGATCCAACTTCCTAAATTCCCCAATTATACAGAAGGGTCAGATGGGATTCTATTTCGTGTGGCTAACAAAGGCCAAACAGAAGGGGGTGCTGTAAGGACCATATTACACCATGACTTGTACTGCCCAGGTGACAAGAAGCTGGGTGTCTTTGGATATAAGAACCAGACAATAAAGGACGCCATTGTGGCCGATGGGAGGTTTAAGATTGACTTTTATAGTGGATTCATTCTTAAAGGTGGGAAAGGAGAGGAGGAATATGAAAATCACATGCAGTTGTCCTGTTTACAAGATAATTACAAACAATACACATACACTATAGTTTTTCCTCCTGGGGAGCCTTGTAAGCCCAATTTACCTTCCGCCACGCACTCAGTGATAGACGATCAGGAGTCACAGGAGAATAGGATTTCTTACACCCAGTTACCTCAGTCCCAGGCACGGTATGAAGAGTTTACTAAAGACTTTAGGCAATATTATAGGAACAAAAAGTCCTGGGAAATTGTAAAGGAGAATTTCTCCAATGATATCACATCGAAGCCAATTACCCTGGCCAGTACCCATCGATTACTCACCCAGCACCTAGATTCAGTGGGGTTGATCAAGTACCAGGGCTGTGATACAATTATAGGGACCTGCTTCTTACTGACTGGGTCTTTGGTCATCACCTGCAATCATGTGGTAAGAGATATTCTGAAATATACTGATTCCATTCAGAATTGTTGCATTATATTTAATTACGAGAGTGATGCAGATAAACAAATAGACTACCCCGTTATTAATGAAATCACATCCAACACAGAGCTTGATTTTGCCATTTTACAATTAGGCAATCTTCCTGGGGAAACACCCCCCCGTGGTTTGTTAGAGTATTTAGAGTTACCTCCTGCAAATGGAGCTGTCAGTATTATTGGGCACCCTAAAAACCAGTTCAAAATGATTGATTTGTGTTCGGTGATCAGTTATGGCTTGAGAAACACAATCATCCAAAATAGTCCGTTTCTACATTTAGCAACAAAAGACACATTTCAGGAAATGAGAGACCCAAACTTAGTAACATACGATACATGTTTTTACTCAGGATCCTCTGGCTCCCCAGTATTTAATGCCTTTGGAAAGCTAGTTGCGATGCACACAGGGGGTTATGTGGTTCACCTTTTCAATAAAAAAACAAGCATTATTGAGTATGGAAGGTCCTTGTTTGATGTTATCGTTTGTGCGGCAGTTGAAAGAGAAGAACTGTGCTCTGCTTTTAAAGAATTAGCTGACCGCAATGAAGACCTAAAGACAAAAATTCATGATCTTCCTAAACATGCATTATACCTACAGCCCTTTATACGGCAACTTCTGCAGCTTTGGGAATCAGAAACTGATCTCATCCCAACAAGTGACAGCAGCCAAACATCAATGGACACCGATTAGAACAACATCTGGCTGTACACATGCCCCAGAATAAAGATATCTATTTTCAAATCTGTAATAATTACTGGGGATCGTAAAGGGACATGCTAAGCACCAAAACAACTTTAGCTTAACAAAGCTTTTTTTTAAATTCTTTATTTAGATTGGCAATCAGTACAGTGGATAACAAAAGACATATCAATTGAGCATAGCAAAAAAGTCACAAACAGTCGATAAACAGCTCATTGTGTACATGTCCAATTGCCGATATTCATCAATGTGACATCAAGTGTATGTCAGTGCTGTTAATAGTATGTGGGTCATCAATAATGTTCAAATATATTGTGTATATACAGAAAGAAGAGTTTAATGTAATCAGGAAGCAACCACAGGCTTACATAGGGATTTTCTTATTTGTACCAATATTATAGGTTTCCATTTGTGGACTATATAGGAGATTGAGGTCACACTCAATTCCCTATTGATGTTGTCCTTTTTTTCATTAGGTTGCGAAAAGGAAAGGGGGGAAAGTGAAGAGAGAGTAGAGCAGGGGATTAGGGATGACATGTGAGTGGGAGGGCAAAAAGGGGGTAACAGCCGGCTTTGCAAGTGTCAGCTGGTAGATATCATGGGAGCATAGTTGCGGAGACATGTCGTTTGTGCAAGTCTTTGGTATCTGTGCCTTGTCACGTTATCTATTTGTATTTATGTCACCATAGTGCTGAATGGTAGTGCCAGTGTTTAATGAAGCTGTTTTGTTAGCTCTGCCATTGTAAATAGGGTGCCATCCCTCATTTTTAAAGAGATGCTTCATTGATTTTTAATTTTATTTTTTTACAGTTTAGTATACATACGCCTAAAGAAAATATGCATGTATATATTTTTCTGCATGCTTTCTTTGGAGGAATGTAAAAAAAAAAAAAAGTTGCAAAAGCTGCAGATTTTCTGTCTGCAGCCATTGCAAGCTCTTTCATTTTTCCCCAGCACAAATATGATAGATTTCAACACATATAGAACTTCTGCAAGCTGTGTGCTTTTTTGTGTGTGGAGTGCTCTTTTAAGTAATGCTTATGCATTCTGCTTGTTTTATGTATGGGTACGGCGGATGCTTTGTGAGGTGGCATTTGTGTGTGGACTGTCTGATGTTGTGCAAGTATATATATGGACTGTGTGCAGTGTTGTGTATGCTTTCTTGTTTGTGGTATTCTGTGTTTGAAGGGATTGGCTTATGTGGTTTTCTTTGTAAATGTGGACTGTTTGTGGTATTTTGGGTATGTGCGTGTGTGGCAGGAACTGTGGGGTTGTAAGTGTAGGTTGTTTGTAGTAGTGTGTGTATGTTATATTAGCTGCCAGTTGTATTATGTGTTTTCCTTCTGGGGTTTTGTGTGTGTGTGTTGTCTGTGATGTTTAAATGTGTAAAAATGGGTTGCTTTTAGTAATTGTGTGTGTGTGTGTGTGTGTTTTGGCTGCAATCTGTGGTATGTGTATATTTAGGCTATATGTAATGTTGTGTGTAGTGGCTGCAATCTGTGGTGTGTGTGTATATTTGGGCTGTATGTAGTGTTGTGTGTAGTGGATGCAATCTGTGGTGTGTGTGTATATTTGGGCTGTATGTAGTGTTGTGTGTAGTGGATGCAATCTGTGGTGTGTGTGTATATTTGGGCTGTATGTAGTGTTGTGTGTAGTGGCTGCAATCTGTGGTGTGTGTGTATATTTGGGCTGTATGTAGTGTTGTGTGTAGTGGCTGCAGTCGGTGGTGTGTGTATATTTAGGCTGTATGTAATGTGTGTGGGGGCTGTGTTTTGTATTTGTGTATGTATGGGCTTTCTGTAGTGTTTGTATATTGTGTACTGGTGTTTGGAGGTACAGACCACTAATTCCCTATGAATCAGCTGGCCGGTTTGGGTCAGGCAGGATCCTATGCCATACACACACACACCGGTGTGGCATGGATCGCAGTCTACTGATATAGATCATACCCCTGTAGTCTCACTGCTCAATTCTCTGCCATTTAGAAGATAAATCACTTTGTTTATACAGCCCTAGGTACACTTGTTGCATGTGACTTGTACAGCCTTTCTAAACACTTCCTGTAAAGAGAGCTAATGTTTACAATTAGAATTTATCTTCTGCACGGTTAATAGCCTTCTAGATGATGCAGGGACCTCCTGTGTGTGTAATTAAAGTTCAATTTACAGAGCAGTAGATAAAAACATATAACGTAAGTTAACATCTGATTAAAAATGAAACTTTTTCATGCAGGCTGTGTCAATCACAACCAGGAGAGGTGTGGCTAGGGCAGAATAAACAGAAACAAAAGGGATTTAACTAGTAAATGGCAGAGAATTGAGCAGTGAGACTGCAGGGGCATGGTCTATACACCAACACTGCTTCATTAAGCCAAAGTTTTTTTGATGCCTATAATGTCCCTTTAACCTCTTAAGGACACATAACATGTGTGACATGTCATGGTTCCCTTTTATTCCAGAATTTTGGTCCTTAAGGGGTTAAGAGTTAAATAATTTTGTTAATGCAGTGCTAGCCACACATCCCCTGGATGTGACTCACACAGTCTCCATGAAAGAAATTATTTTATTTTCAATCAGATCTTACAGTACAATGTGTTTTCTTTGCAGATTTGTATCTCCTGCTCTGTTACTTGAACTTTAAACACAGAAAGAAGGCTGTTGTAGCGGGCAAGTAACAGAGCAAGAAAAAATAATTTCTAAATTAAACAGAATGTGCAATAAAGGAAGTTTAAATAATAGATATCTTTTTACAGGAAGTGTTTAGAAAAGCTGTGTAAGTCACATGCAGGGAGGTGTGACTATGGCTATATAAACTAAGTGATTTAACTCTTATATGGCAGAGCATTGAGCAGTGAGACTGCAGGGGCATGTTCTATACACCAAAACTGCTTCATTAAGCTAAAGTTATAAGCATTTATCATATTTTGTTATCTCTTTAATATTTTTCTATTATTCCCTGATAGCTATAGAGCAGAAATCATGTTCTTTCTGTCATTTAACCAATATCACCTATTGGGTTGTTGGGTGGAGATACTGAAGTGATAAGTTAAATCCCCAACTAGGTTATTTCAACCTTGGAGAAATGTAATAATGCAGCATATATCTTAGCTCTCTGGATTTTAAGCACCTTACTTAAAATGTCAGTGACATTAACCAAAATAGTTAAACAATTCCTGATGCCCAGATAAAATATTGTCTCTGCCTCCCCAGTCCTACACGGGCCCCAGACCAACCTAGAACACATTCTCTCTTCTATGTGAAAAGGTTATATAGACTGTGTCCTGTGGCAGGAGCAACATATTAATTATATTAACTGAGAGGAAGGAAAGAGCTAAACAAAACTGCTATCACTACATCACAGAAAGATGGATGTTGCTGAGAATTAAATTTGACTTTTATTATACATTTCTAAAATCTCACAAAATTAGTATTAAGAACCTACACCAACAAAGTAAAAAAAAAATTTTTTAAAAAGAGACATATAACACGGGAATATGGAGATTTTGTATTAAAACCTTATTGTGAATGAATCTAGTTTACTAGTACAAGATCTCTCTAACTAGCCAAAGCTGGGTAAAGTATAGTCAATAATATGAATAATAAAGAGATGATAATGAAAGCAGCCAGTAGGTGGCAGTAGAACTTCCACCCAATCACAGTAATAGATGGAGGGTACTAATGTACAGAGATCAGCTGATAGCAATTAAAGGACCACTATAGTGCCAGGAAAACAAACTCGTTTTCCTGCCACTATAGTGCCCTGAGGGTGCCCCCCACCCTCAGGGTCCCACTTCCGAAGCGCTGAAGGGGGAGGAAGGGGTTAATCCCTTACCTTTTTTCCAGCGCCGTGCTCCCTCGGCGCTGGGGACTCTCCTCCCTCTTCTAATGTCATCGGCTGAATGCGCTGAAATACTATAACTATCAGAATAATCAGCAGTGAGAAAAAAATTAACACAGAACTAGAGGGAAACCCACTGTACTATAAGAAACTAGAAACTTAAAAAGACACTGTAGCTAATTTAAGTGGTCTTGGTGCAATGTCCCATGTCCCTTAACCCTGAGCAGGTAATTATTGCAGCTTTTAAGATATTGCAATGATTACCTTTGACGGTGAACTCCACCTCTAGTGGCTGTCTATTAGACAGCCACTAGAGGGACTTCCTGGATGTTAGGCGACGTTTGGTATAGGGTTAATGATGGGTTCGAGTTAATGCGGTTTTAGCACTAGTGATGGTGTATAGTTCAGGTTAGGGATTTTTCTTCAATTTGTTTTTAACCTTATTCCTGGTTTAAGTATACTTATAGGATATTAATAGAAAGCTATTTCTGTCATAGAAAACACACAATATATAATGTGAATGGGTGCATTATAGAGAAACGCTTAGATATCGCTGGAACAAACACATTGAGAGCAGGGAGCTGTTCTACACTTTGAATTGTTTTTCTTTTTCTATAGTCATTATCTTTTTTTCTGTACTCAGTGCATTGTTTGTACATTTGGATATATTTTAAGGAAATAAATACTAATAAAATGAAAAGAAACTTTGTTTTATTTGTATCAATCATTTTGTTCAATGCTGAAATAAAGAAATATTATTGTAGGGGGTAAATAGAATTTCAGTATTCTGGATGACGTTCTCCTATAAACTCCATTATGGTGGTTGTAAACCAAAAAAAAAAGCAATGGGTTTTTGTTTTTTTCACAATTTTTCACCTATATGGTAGTTTTCCTTCTTTAGAGGCAGACTTCATGTGGACCTACTTGGTTTGTTTGGCTATCGTAACAGGGCTCAGATTCCAGGGTAGTGTAGGGGCCACAGCAATCAGGAGAAGAGGGGCCAATGTGAGCTTTACATATTGATAAAATATCCAATACAGGCTGATTTCAATTTATTATTCCAATTCTTTACTCTACTAAATCATTCTCAATATATAAAGTTTTAATTATGTTTTAATGAAAATAATGTGATAAACACGTTACTCTTTATTGCTCAATCATTTAACTCAACCAATAAATTGTTCGATATTGTGCTAATAGGATATGTATGAAATTCATTTACAACTTTGCTTTCTTGTCAAAATTGATTTATTTCTGCATTTTCTGTACCCTGAAGATTATTTTCAAATGTAGAAAAATAATGTTAAAGAAATGAAAACTGATCAAATTAAAAAGGACTTTTTAAAATGTACTTCTTGATTTCTGCATTTTTTTCTAAATGATGAAATAGAGGTTTAATCTTACAGGGAGTAAATAGAATCAGTATACTGGACGAGGTTCTCCTATAAACTCCATTATAGCCCTCCAGGGAAGGCTCAGAATCTCCTTCCACAACGCCAAGTTAGATCAATCAGAGCGACCCTAAATCTGGCAATGTCAGGGAGGAGGACAAACGATTAGATAATTTGACAGACATGACAGAAATGCAGCCGTGAATAGGTAAATATATAGATATATATACAAAGAAAGGAGCATTAACATTCTTGCTAAAAACCCAGGAGGGTCAAAACGATAATGTAATCGGTTAAATGTTTAAATACACTTTTGAAAACTGGCAGAGTGCTCCTTTCTTTACTTTGTTTATATTTTGCTGGGAAGCACCCGTGTATTTTTTTTTAAGTATTTTGATTGTTGAGGGTTGAGTGCCAGTGCCTGGACTTTTATTTATATATACACACACAGTATCTCACAAAAGTGAGTACACCCCTCACATTTTTGTAAATATATTTTCATGTGACAACACTGAAGAAATGACACTCTGCTACAATGTAAAGTAATGACTAAAGATATTAACCCTGAGAGAGGTCAAACAAATCCCCCACTAGCCAAAAACATTGGCTAGAGGAGACCTGTAACCCTATCCCCTAGATAAAAGACCTGGTATTGCAGGGTGTAACCCTAATTACTAGAAATAAAAAAAAAGAAAGGACAATATCCAAAACATCCACTCCTAATGGAGATGGGTGTATAGCAGGGTATCCCTCTTAAGTGGAACATCTCATCTGTCTCCTAGGGCTGGTATGTAGTAGACATGTGCAATTCGTTTCAGTCTGAATGAAAATTTGTCCGAATTTCTGCTAATTCGGACATTCAGGTGCTTCCGAATGTCCAAATAGCCGAATTGTTGAAATCCCAAAGTGCTGAAATTATCGAATTTCTGAAGTGTAGTAGTGCTGAAGTGCCGAAGTTCCAAGGTGTCAAAGTGCCGAAGTTTCCGAAGCACAGTATTGCCTAAGTACTAATATACTCTCCCAGTGGAAGAAGAAGAATGTTACACTGTATACAATTTTAAATAAAACGTATACAAACATAGCCAGGATTCAGCTGTAAGCATTTGCAACACAACAATCAAGTAACACACATTCATGTAATGGCACCCCCAGGCATAAAAGGGGTTAAACCGCCGTTTAGTAGATCTTCCCCTTCCAGAGACACAGGCACAGCTACTGTAGACACCAATCCAACGAACCGGGGAAGCATACAAATGCTCTCAAACATACAAATTCTGTAAACAGTCAAATAGGAAAAACCATACGAAAGATTTACACTCCTAGCAGTCGAACTGGAACAGCATACAACAAATCCCCCCAAGAACGAGACAAGGCTCCGTGTTGAGGGTCAAAAAACGAACAGGCAGAGCTGTGGGTTTATTGGTCTTATATACACATTAGTACCACCCACAGGGTTTTGTAAAACAACCAATAAACAAATACAATACACTCAGATACTCCCACACAAATTCCTCCCCTCTGCCTGTGATACAATTACCTTACACAATGGGTTAATGTAATTATCACAGGCAGAGAAATAGTTTTTCCACATGATTCATAACTTTAAAAGTATGCATCACATTCACATAAATTTTCAGAATCAGCATACCCCAAATACAAACATATGTCAAAATCATACAAATTGGTCCAGTCAAAAGATAGATCATAGTCCTTTGTGACCAAATGAAGCATGGCTTTTCTGCCCAAAACCAGTTCCACATAGTCTTTGTGACGGAACGCTGGCACTCCGACTGAGTACCTCCGCCAATCGATGCTCCTAGTGCTCGCTGAGGACTCCAAGCACTCCAACTGACACCATCAGCACTGCAGACCCCACTTCCAGCGATGTAACTGCGCCGGGGTCTCTGCTGTTTCCACCCACCCTGGACCCAAGGCCAGGATCCAGCTTCCAGTGGGTGAACCTCTCTTTCCCCAGAGAGCAGGAACAGGAACAAATCAAGCTACTGCAAGAGCTTCCTCTGGGGAGTAAGTGATTATAGCAATCCCCAGAGTGTAGGTATCCCTTCCCCCAAACATGAGCCAAGGCTTAATGCTGGAACAAGACTGATTTACTGGCACACAGAACTCACAATTTATGCAACACAAAACTCCTCCTCTGGGCCAGGCTAGATAATTGAGTTTCTACAATACACAAAGCTCAATTATCTGCTGGCCAGAAATAATACAGTTTCATAAAACACACAGGGACCCCAAAACATGCAATAACCCCATAAAAAGTATATCCTTGGAACCGGGGGATCTGGGTGAACCACATATCCAAAATTCACCCAGATCCGTTCAGTACTTTGGAAAATACAGTTTAATGCAGATTCTGCAGAACATAAAATGGCCGCCATCCATTGTTCTCACCATGTGCTTCTGATACAGGAAATGGTGGCCACCCAGTAACTCCACAGTATGTCCCCAGATGGTTCTTAAAGGGCCAGCAGCAGCACAACACAAATCCATTATGCCCAAATCATGTCTTTAAAGGGCAATACATCCCAGGGGCCATAGTCACAGGGCAAGAGGCGGGCAAGCAGTCCTCTCCAGGCACAAGTGGCGAAGGGCACTTCGTCACACATCTTCCCTTTGGGGGGAAGACTAAACAGGTACCTGACCTTCTGCCGGTCAGTACCTAGATTAGTCGGGCAGCCCACCCACAAAGAAAAATACGCAGAGTAACCCCCCCACAATAAATGGTACTGGCCTGTAGGTTCAAGTTTGTAGTGGGACAGCGCAGCACTCTCGGTCTCCCTGGTGCAGCTAGGCAAACTGCTGGTGTTGCTTGGGGGGCAGAGGCCAGCGGCGCTCTGCCCTGCTGCCAGCTCTTCCACTGGGGTAACCCGTGGTAAGTCAGGCTCTGATAAAGGGGAAAAGGGGGGGCAGAGGCTAACAAAGCTCTTCCCAGATGCCAGCTCTTCTGCTGGGAGGGGGTCAGTGGGTATCGCAGGCTCATCCACTGCCCCCAGGACCCGGTTGGGATGTAGATGGGGAGGGGAAGTTTCGCTTACCTCCTCCTCCTGGCATCCCTGCGGGGTTGGTTGTGGATCTGGACCGCCCGTCCAGCCTCCCTGTAGGACTGGCACAGAGACCGCGGTCCCATCTGCGCCAGTGTGGTTAGGTTTGTCCTCCCCCTCTCCCGGTATCTCTGGCTGCTGTTGGAGGGGGAGGCTGGTTGCCCCCACTCTCCAGGACGCTGGTTCCTGTAAGTTGGAGGGATCGACCATCACCTCCTCCTGGAACTCAGGCCGCCGCTGGGGAGAGAGACCAGTTGTCTCCTCTCCCTGTATATTATACTGCCGCTGGGGACCTGGGCTGACTGCCCAGCATCCCTGTAGGGCTGGCAGAGAGACTTTGGTCCCATCTCCGCTTGCCATCTCTCTGTGTCCCCAGGACAAGTCTATGAGGTCGCCCACCTCTGGCTGCTGTTGGAGAGGGAGGCCGGTTGCCTCCCCTCCCCAGGACGCTGGTTGCTGTATGGGGGAGGGATCTACCATCACCTCCTCCTGGTACTCAGGCCGCCGCTGGGGAGAGAGACCGGTTGACTCTTCCCTCTGTACGGTGCACTGCCGCTGGGAAGGGAGGTCGCTGCTCTCCTCTCCCTGTAACTCACTCTGTCGCTGGAGACGGGGTGTCAATACCCCCAAACTCCACAGTTGGTACTCGAAGTTCCGTGCGTCTTGGTTCTCAGCACTCAACAGGCGCATCACTTGATGGACCACCTCATCTGAAGGGTTTGGGCCAAACCAGACCAGCCGCGCCTTTACTTCCTTCATGAAATCAGCACCCTCATAGCACTGTGACAGGTGGATTTGCACCCACCATGCTGTCCAGGGTCCTAGCTGGCCCATGTTGTCTAGTGGACGCCACAGGCTGGAAGCACCTCACTATAAACTTAACTCCACACTGCCAATGGGTGTCCCGGGAAGCCGCTGGTCCTCTCGGCGACTAGGACGCCATCCCACAAGTTACCAAATGTGATTTTGAACTTGGCATCTCGAATTGAGCACCTCCCACAACCCTGCTCCCAGTGCCGCTGAGGACCCCAAGCACCCAACCGACACCATCAGCACTGCAGTGACCCCACCTCCCAGCATGTAATCTCCGCGCCGGGCCCCGGCCGTGTCTCCACCCACCCTGGACCCAAGGCCAGGATCCAGCTTCCAGTGGGTGAACCTCTTTCCCCAGAGAGCAGGAACAGGCTCTTAGCAGAACTTAGTGATCATACCCTGGGGAGTATAGTGATTATAGCAATCCCCAGAGTGTATTTCTCCAATCCCCCAAACATGAGCCAAGGCTTAATGCTGGAACAAGACTGATTTACTGGCACACAGAACTCACAATTTATGCAACACAAACTCCTCCTCTGGGCCAGGCTAGATAATTGAGTTTCTACAATACACAAAGCTCAATTATCTGCTGGCCAAAAGTCAATACAGCTCTCTACAAACACACAGGGGACCCAAAACATGCAATAACCCCATAAAGTATATCCTTGGAACTGGGGGATCTGGGTGAACCACATATCCAAAATTCACCCAGATCCGTTCAGTACTTTGGAAAATACAGTTTAATGCAGATTCTGCAGAACATATATACAGGCTAAATGAAAAACAATCACTGTATAATGTGTCCCCTGCTGTATAGTCCAAAACCACTGCACAATGTCTCTGTGCACCAAATACTGGCAAGATGGCACCGTGTTGAAAAGTCCAAACAGTGTCTGTGAGTTAA